CCAGGGCTTGACTTCTGTGTTTCTGCAGTCAAGCTTTCGGAAGACATGCGAACATGTGTACGCCGAACCCTTCTTGACGTTGGGTGACCGTCACAGCGTTCTTGATGTCGCTTGCATATATCTCTGGATCGAAGAACCTCGAAGTCAGCTTGAACCTTTTACGAAACATAAACACCTAAATTTTCACCTTCTTCCGAAAACGGCGTGGCATAACGGGCACTCGAAATTCTTTGATCCAGAAGCACCATGGCCTGTTCCAGTCAGAATGCACTTGGGCTAAACACTGATTATGCATCATAGGGTTAAACATACGCGTTCTCTTGTGTCGCTCTAGATTTTCCTATAGTGAGGTGAGTCTTAGGATGTTATATATGGGGAAATATTTTTCGGCAGGGACTGACACTTCTTGTGAATGATTGTGAGCAGAGGGGACAGCTGAAAGGTTGCGCACTGTTCATCTTGCCTACAGCGAATTCGCCTCAGATAACTCCAGCCTAAGAGCATTTTGGTCCTTGCAAAGCTAGGGACTGCAAAGGTCTAATTAAGTAATCTACAGAGTGAGAGATGGAGCGGGGTTTGCAGCCATCTCTATCTTTTAGCGTTGGCGTAGGTGGAGCAATCTTATCATCAGTCCCGATAGGTATTATGTCAAGGTAATAAACCAGATACCGAGTCGGGTATCTGCCTAAGTGCAGTACCTGACTCAATGGTCTAGTCAGATACGGCAGTGGTGTCAATGGAACTCATGCCGTACTGTTCTTTCTTCTCCATTCAATAACAGTACAAGGCCAATTACCTTAATTGACTCATTCGACTATATCTTTTATAGAAGTTGCTAAGTATCGTCTGGTTGTACAGGTTCCAAGGCTTTTCTCGATTGGTTTTATTGGGTCACTACATCTTACACAAATCCAAGTCCAGTGTTTCATTTCAAGCTGCAGCAGGGTATAATTTGACTGACGAAGCTTGCAGCTCACCTTTGAACCTCCCGAGTATACCGATGTTTATTGTGGAATGTTTATCTCTATAATAATTAACAGCTCTTACCTTACGAACGTAGGAATTCCGTAATATCCGCGTCTTGATATTGTGGCTGTTTATCTTCACCGTCTATGAGTCCGAGATACCAGCTTAAATCATGCCCGTCAAACTCGCGCTCAGCGAAGCCATTGCCAAAGTAATAGAATCTATTCCTGTTGGCTCGGGTTAGGTGGTAGTCTTCCCACCTTGGGGTCTTCATGGCATCGAAGAAATGAATCCGGGATCCTGGCCACATCATAACCTCCCCCTTGATACTGCCTTGTTTGAACCATGAGTTACATGATCCACTCCAGGCAGTCCGGGGAATGAAGGTTCGTCGATGCTCAGCAAAATCGGCGACGGCTTCTTCTGTGGGTTCAAACGCTGTGATCCACTCATCGGACATTTTCTCAATGATCTGCATGAAATGTTTGCATAAAAGCTCCATAACTGGGAGGATGCTTCCGTGGCCGTAAACGCCGAATGGCCCATTGAAGACTTGTTACGTGTTTGTTAGAAACCAAGCCACACCAGATAATGGACGGGACCATGATACTTACTTAGGTAATTGGGAAAATGTGGTACAGACATTGAAAGATACGTGCTCGAAGCTTCTTTCCATTCTTCACTCAGACTCCGTCCGCCACGACCAATAGTAGGATACCGCGGCTTCCAGGTGACGTCGAACCCAGTGGCACAGACAATAATGTCGACCTGATGCTCCGTACCGTCATCAACCACAATGCTGGTCTCAGTGATTCGCTTGATGCTTCCACGGATGACGTCAACATTATCCTCGCATAATGCCTCGATGAACCCATTCCCAGGAGTTGGTCGTCTGCAACCAATCTCATAGCCCTTGGGAATGAGATGCTCTGCGACTTCTGGCTTTTTGGAGGACTTTCTTCTCATTTCCTTCTCGGCAAACTGCAGAAAGGGTTAGTTGATCACGTGGATGAACCGCAATTGTACATTACAACTGTACTTCTCGAGCCTCTTTTTGTTCCTCAGTACCATTAAGAATTAGTCGAAACCGTCCGTTCAGTTCCGACTCAATATTCTTTCTATAAATCAAATATTTCTTTGGATCTTTCCGTAATATATCTCTCTGTTCTTCGGTGTCTGTTCAACGCTCTCCCGTTAAAGTAATTTCATTTCACTCTCTCAGAGAAGCTTACATTTGAAATTTGTGCCATTTGGTCCAGCAAATCTTTGTCCAAACCCAGCCGTCACCCAGGTGGTACTTCTTATGACAGCTTTTAGATTCTTGACGACTAAGGACAAAGTTAGAGATCGCCCCTTCCCTTGAATAATGAGCTATTCACATACCTGGCTGAAGTGCTGGGATGATTTGAATCCCAGACGAGCCTGCACCAATGACTGCAACAGTCTTATCAGTGAAGTCGACACTCTCGTCCCAATTAGCACTATGCATCATTGGGCCCTTGAATGTTTCTCGGCCCTCGATGTCTGGCCATTTCCACTTGCTACATAGCAACCGTTAGTGTAGTCTAACCTGATGGTTGGTGGGGATTAATACTTTAGGACACCAGTCGCATTCAGGAGAATATTGCACTCGTCTTCAAAGATTTCATCCGGTTTGTCAAGTCTTTGTACCCGAACGCGCCATGTCTGGGAGTCTTCCTGCCAAAAGCAGCCAGTGACTAGATGGTTTACCCGGCAATACTTGAGCAGATCGTAATCTTCGGCAACTTTTAAAAAGTATTGATGAATTTCGCGAGCGCCGGAATAGCTAGTGCGTTTAGAAAGCTACATTCTTGGGTTTTGGGTTCGTAATTACTTACAATGTGGTCCATTCCGGAGATGGCGCCCAAGAAAACTGATAACACACGGAAGGAATATCGCAAGCGCATCCGGGATAGCGATTCTCATACCACGTTCCACCAATGATGGGATTCTTGTCATAGCACACGTAGTCAATATCAAGAAGGCTCTTGTTGACTTCGTGCCCAAAGTTGAGGGCGCTCGCACCCGCGCCTATGGCGATGACCTTGATTTTTCTCGGCTTTCGAAGAGGCTCTTCTTTTATGGTGTAGGAGGAACTGTCGGTGGCAGCTGGACTGATATGATAACCGTTTGTGAAAGGCTTGGTACTGGCCATGGCAGGATTTGCGATTGGACTCATGGTGATTTCTTTCTCGGTTGTAACAACGCTCTTAGTGAGACTTTTAACAGCGTCGACAGTGATCATTGCACTGGTTAACATGAATTTTCTCGTGAGTAACAGCAGTGGTTTGTTGACATTATACTCTGTTATGGTATGATCTGTTCGGGGTCTTATAATCACAAATGATCCTACTGAAAGACCCCGTGATCCTGGGCGCAGCTTCCGCTCACTAGATGTTTGAGATGCAGTACTTGGACTGTTGCTTGAGAAGTACTGCCATGGAGCTCCGCTGCCGACTGTCACTCTCAAACGGAGAAACCATAGTCCACGTCCCCATTGCTAATGCACGGTGCTCTAGCATTCTGCGATTCGCTTAGGGCTCAAAGTCGTGTCCAGTGTCCATGAGGTGGTGGTCGGCACCTAAAGTGCGCGAGTCCTGCTCCCCTTCCACCTCCACCTCCACCTCCACCTCCACATCACTTGGACTGGATACTTAGGTAGGAGGTGGAGCAGATCTCTTATCTGGGCTCACGCCGCCATTGCGGACTTTTACCATAGGATGCTACTAATACTGATCGCTAAGTCTCCCGTCCCTCCGCCTCCACCTGAAACACCCTATCAGACCCACTAGATTCGGCGATTAGCGCAACTCGTTGCTTTTTCCACGCAGGTACGCTAGACTAAGATTTGTTTGCAAGCGAGGAGGGCGGCGAAGAGGGCACGCATCTTCTGACTACAGTCGGCCTTTCCCCAGACTACAACCGAGCCTATGTATGCTAGACCGCTCCATTCGTGTTCCGACCAAGCCGGAATTGAGGGACAGATGACAGCTTATCATCAGTGGCTTCACTAGCTGATATCTTCCCAGCTAAGTGGAGTAACTTGGGGTAATTCGGTTCATCTCTCTATAAGCGTTGATACGCTGAGTGCAATCCAGGAGTTCGGAGAGATAAGACCTCAACGGTGTTTTGATAGGCTGGGATCCTGATATTTATATGCTCCTCGAAAGTCAGAGTGTCGGCAATCTTTCAGACGCAAACATCGGACAGAGCATTGTCAACTTTGACATACAGCAAAATCTGACCTTTTCGAAGTCTGTCTCAAAATTAAGGCACATTTCATTTTCAGCTCCGACTTATTGCTTATTGCTTCTTGCTCATTGCACAAGTGACCTCTGGCTCGCATCATACAATGACACCAGACAACGATCCCAAGGTCACGAAGACTACCTTACCAGCAGAAAAGTCCACTATAGAGCCTATCAGACTTTCCACTGAGATGTCTACGGCCGAAGCAATCAAAGTAGATGTGGATGATGCCAATATTGACCCGGCTTTCAGGGCCACGGGCGGTACGACGATTGAAATCTCGGCAGAAGCGAGCGCACGTGTCCTTAAGAAGATCGACAGACACATGCTACCACTCATGTGCTGGATCTATCTTGTCCAGTTTGCCGACAAATCCAGTCTCAACTATTCGTCACTTATGGGTATTAAAGCCGATACTCATCTTACTGGGTATCAGTATAGTTGGCTGGGCAGCATTTTCTATGCAGGATATATCTTTTGGGAGTATGCCAATAGTCCTTCCCGCCTCCCCATCGTTACGAAATTATCACTTATCATTGACTAGATTTCCAACCACATATTTCTTCCGTCGACTTCCCGTCGGTAAATATTTGTCTGTTAATATTGTCCTTTGGGGCGCGGTACTGGCATGCCATGCTGCGACTTCCAACTGGGCCGGCCTCATGATCACTCGATGCATCTTGGGTGCGTTTGAGGCTACTATTACCCCAGGGTTCGTCATTATAACATCTATGTGGTACAAACAAAACGAACAAGCCCGACGTATGGGTTACTGGCTCGGCTGTAATGGAGCTGCCTCTATCATTGGTTCGCTCATCGCTTACGGCCTTTCGGCTATCACACATGCTGCACTGGCTCCTTGGAAAATTCTTTTCCTCTTGTTTGGTCTGGCAACTGTCGTTACTGGTGTCTTTTACTTTTGGTATATGCCGGACAATCAACTGAATGCCAAATTTCTCAATGAGGAAGAGAAAGTCATTGCTATTGAGCGGATTCGAGACAATTTTCAGGGCATTGGTAACCGTGTGTGGAAATGGGAGCAGTTCTGGGAAGCCATGCGTGATCCTCGTACATGGCTTTATGGACTCTATTCTCTGATGATGAACATCCCTAATGGAGGCAATACGACCTTCGGAGGCATAATCATTAGCTCGTTTGGCTTTGACTCACGTACTTCACTGTTACTCAGTGCCCCAGCCGGTGCTGTGGATCTCGGCAGCAAGCTGTTGTTTCCCTGGCTCTCCGACTACTTCATGGACCGGACCCTCTTTTCCGGCATGGCCATCCTCTTATCCATGCTGGGCGGGATACTCATGATCGTCATTCCGCTCGAGCACCAAGGGCCACTTCTATTCGGGTATTATCTCATCGCTACAGCGGGTGCATCATGGTGCCTTGTCATGGTACTCATCTCCAACAACACACTAGGCTACACGAAGAAGGTCACTGTCAACAGCGTTCAAATCATCTGTTATGCCGCCGGCAACTGGATTGGTCCACAGACTTTCCGCAGTAGCGATGCTCCAGAATACCGGAACGGCAAAATTATGATTGCGTCACTTTATGGAACAACGGCCTTGGTTCTCGTAGCTATTCGCCTAATAAATATCATGGAGAATCGACGCCGAGACAAGAACCAAGCCGAGTCAGGCATTGACCTGAACGATCCAGAGGTCAAGGCCGAGATTGAAAGAGCAAAGTTCATGGATTTGACGGATTTTCAGCAAACCTACTTTCGTTATGTTCTATGAAGGGGCTCCCGTAACTTTGTCTTACACGAGAATCTTGTATTTGACTCAACCAAATCAGAGATATGATGGGTATATAAAGACAAATTGATGGGATGTGTCAACCTTAGGAATGGATTTGCCTCTTCCTTCTGGGACAGTTTAGATGGGCTGTCGGGTGTCCTGTATGACGACTGTGAGTACCTATGGTGTCGACCGATCAGGGCTCTACATCATTGTTTTATAGTATCGGCATACAGTACTATTTGTTAAGATCTTACATTTCTATCATCAAGTCTTATATGAAAAGGGGTGTATCTTGTCAAAACAGTATCGATGTCATCAATCTTTCAGCTGACTTTTGCTAACACTCAAGAGGATTGGACACTGTATTTACTCCCGTCACCGTGATTTACTATCTGACTAAAGACGGAAACTTTTTGAGCTAAATTTAGGCATTGGATTAGCCGTTGAAGTTACTATTTATCACTTAGTTGCAAAGCTGAATAACAAAGCTAATCCTTTGACTAAGGCCCCGGCCTATCGCTTGGAGGAAAGCCTGTGAGTAGTGTCCACAAGCGAACTACGCCTACGTCAGCCTCATGAGAGATACCATGACTAGCCGCAGAAAGATATATGTTATGTGCTGCTGACGAGATCGGACAAAAGCACTGCAGGCGTTTAGCCTCGTTCAGCACAATGCCTAGATCCTTTACAAATATGGCAAGAGCTGAGTGAGGTGTCCAGTCCATGTCGAGTATCTGCGGAACCCTATTGGCGAACATCCAACTCCAACTGGTGGAGTTGCTTAGAACTTCATAAAGCGATTTCAGATCCAGGCCCAAACGGGATGCAAATGCCATGGCTTCTGCTGCAGCCACGATATGGACACCGGCGAGGAGCTGATTCACACATTTTATGGATGAGGCAGCACCCACTCCGCCATGAATATAGTAGAGGTTAGTAGTAAGTCCCGTCATAGCCATCAAAACCTCGTGAATATTGGTAACAGCAAGTCTCGGCCCCGAGCAAATAATCTAATCCCTTGAGAATTAGAAATAGTCATTAAGGAGTCGTGGGTGGATATACGCACGGTAAGGTTACCATTTGCAGCACGAACTACGCCTCCGCTGACTGGAGCATCTAGAAGAAAGACACCTTTGTCTAGTTGCTTCAATTTATCTTGTAAGCTCTGAACATAATGAGGAGGCACGGTAGAGCTGAGGATGACTACAGCACCGTTAGAAAGAGTTTCTGCCACTCTGCCTGCTCCGAACAGAACATCATCGACTTGTGATGCGTTCTGCACCATAATAATCACAACTTCTGAGCCTTCGGCAGCGTCTGCAGGAGACCTGGCAGCGTCGGCTCGTCCCGGATGAGAGAGAAAATTGTTCACGGCTTGGGGGAATACGTCATACCCATGCACCAAGTAGCCTGCTCGAAGAAGAGATGCAGCCATGCCTTCTCCCATAGCTCCTAATCCTATCATCCCAATCTTTGAAATTTTGAAATCATTAGTGACTGGCTTCAAATCCTCTAGACAGGTACTTGTACCGAGCTTTTCGACAGCATACGGCGTTTGAGGCAAGAACAGTTTGATCAGTCTAGAATCGTCCTCCTTGCCGTATTCTTGAAAAGAAGCAAGGATGTACAGTTGCTCTGCAGTGGAGGCGATAGGAAGTGGGAATTGGAGAGCACGTGCGCTCGAATTAACCTTGGTCTAGAACCGAAATAACCTAGATTAGTACATAGAAGAATAGTCTACCCCGAAAAACGTACCAGATCCTTCGCAAGAGTGTCCAGTGTTGAATAAGTCGTCCGATCGTTGTCAAGCAGACGAGATACTCGATCCGAAAATGCCCATGAACCGCCAGCGGCATTAGCGATGATGCCGTAGACTTCATGCATATTTAATCCCGCTTTCACTGCCATCGCCATTGCCTCAGCTGCTGCTGCGATATGAATTCCTACCAGGAGTTGATTGATCATGTTGACTTTACTGGCTGCGCCTCCCCCGCCCGGGACTATATATAACTTCTCTGCCATAGTCCGCAACAATAAATCTGCTCTGTCCAGAGCATCCTTGGGACCTGCGGCGATAATCGTGCATGGTTCTTTCGCTGCTCTCTTGGTTTCATCAGGGACAGGACAGTCTATAACCTGCACGTCTGGTCTCCCAGCAGATGCAATCCGTGAGGGAAGGCTGTGGTGGAAATCATAGCTCACATTTGAGCATACAATAATTATCGCATGAGTCGGCAACTCTGTCATTTTAGATCAGCTCAAGCCAATGAATGATTGATTTGGAAACTGGTCTCATTGTGTGCCCTCACCTTGCAAAACACCGCATTCGCTATCGAAAAGAGTTTCATCGATTTGCTCTTCACTGGATGCCATGTATACAAGGAAGCGACTACTTTTTGCTAGGTCTCGCAACGACGCAGCTATGTGTCCTCCATCGGAAACAAATTTCAAGGAGCTGGAGGAATGAATATTGCAACCAGTGACTCGATATTTCTGTTTACTCAGTAGGTTTCGAGCAATCCTGGATCCCGTAGAGCCAAGACCGACAAAGCCGACAGCGACATCTTCACCTGCCGCATTCATGATCTTCAGAACAGTATCAAGCTGACCAGACCATCTGATCTCTTCGCGTGGTGAGGTTTGGAATTATATTTGGTCAATCTATGACCAAGAAGAAGAAGGGGTACAAGTGTACAACCAGGACTTGTGGAGGTGGCTACTGAACGTAAATGGAGCTATTTCTTTCATGGTGGGTCTAGTCCGAATGGTGGAGGTGGAGGGGGACTAAAAGCTTCAATAAGTGTCGGTGAGATGTTTCACGTATGTAATATAGGCATGATAGATGGTGAATATCAATATGGAGTTAGAGAAATTATGTAATCACTTAGGCAGAGAACTCGTTGGTTATTTGTTCTAAGGTTTTTGGTTCTCGGTCCCCTAAATTATCTATGTCACTGTGTGTGTTCTATTGTAGGATCAAACCGCATGTCTCGCCCACTTTCCTGATTTCTTACCAACCTTAGCTTACTGACCACATGGAGTAACCTGATCTATATACCTTTTCTTAACAAACGGCACTAGTTGCCCTGCCTACTGTTCTCGCTCCAGAATGGAAGCCCTCCCTCTAGTCTGATCGCTCCATATATTGAAGAGCTATCCAGGGAGTCTCCAGCGTATTCACGGGCCTTTTGCATGTGAGAGAGGGCTGCTTCGAGCGTGGCAAGCCGCGTGCCGTGCTGTTTAGCCAAAGCAATGGCATGACCGGCATCTTTAGACGCCAAGGCTACAGCAAATCCTGGTGGTGTCTCAAGTGGTGGGGCCCACGCCCCTGTGGTCATTCGTTTGGAGTAGCTCTCGACTACGGGTCCAAACATACTGCCAATGAATTCCTCCACCTGACGAGTTCCAAGACCTGTTTTCTCGGCAAAAACATGGGCTTCCGCAACAAGTTCTTGGAAGCCTATGACGAAGATATTACTATAAGTATTAATTTACGAAGAATTCCCAATGAATGCCATGATACTTCAAACATACCCGGTAATCTTGAGCAGACTTGATTTCCGGACATCTTCGCCCATGTTTATGATGCTGCGGCCCATAACGTTCTCAACATAGGGGCGAAGTCGGTCAATAGCTGTGACTGGTCCCGCCATGGAAAAAATAAGCTTTCCTGCAGCTGCTACTGGGCTAGCACCGAAGACTGGTGATGCAACAAATGTGACACCTCTTTGCTCAAGCTGCTCGGCACACTTTTGACTCGTCTCTGGGTGAACAGTCGAAGTATCGACCCAAGTCTTTCCTTTCAGCGAACTTACATCTTTGAGCGCCCTACTGACTAGTTCATTGAGCACTTCATCGTCAGAGATCTGAGAAGTATATCAGCCCCAATCAATGTCAGTGACCAACAACAAGAGTGGATTGCCTACCATGGTGAAAATAATATTTGACCCAGCTAGGACGGCCTCAAATGACTCTTCCGGAATGGCACCCACAGATTTGAGCATGCCACCTTTTGATAAGGTACGGTTGCTATATCGAAGTGAGGGTAATCCTTTCGATTTAAGATGATTTTGGAGGTTCAGAGCCATTCCAATACCCATCGAGCCCAGTCCATACTGCCAAAGATATGTTAGCCGTATACAATCATATAAAAAGCCTCTGAAGATTGGGTAATTCACCCAGCCGAAAGTGTCTGGAGAAGCCATGACTAGTAAGTTCGCGAGTGGGATGTCCTGACCCAAACCCTGCCAATTTCAAAGAGACAAAAAAAGAGGCCTAAAAAGGGGTTACTTGTAGGCAGTTATCCAGTGCTCACGGGTTGCCTGGTATAAGTCGGCACCTGGTAGGTTGGATACTACTTACTGTACTCTGTTAGTATCTATAGATAATAATTATAGTGGAGCCATTTACTGCAAAGCACCCGCCGCCACATCACTAGCACCCCCACCTCCACTCTAAGGCACCTCCGCCCGCAGTGAAGAAGATATGGTTGTTTCGCGATAGAGCATCTTCTCCTTGACCACACGTACATCAAGCGAAGATCAACTGTTTTGCCTTTTCCCCTCCAAATTGACCCATTCAAGACCACAAAAAGATGTGTCTCACTAGAAGCGTAATTGTAGGCTTCACGGAAGCGGACGATAGATGTACTATACACGTTTTGGCTGGGAGGGAAATTGCAGATGGTGCTCCACATGAGCGCGGGAGGAGGCTTGCGTTTTGGTCCAGCAGACATTCGACACAGATGTCGCTAGCGGCTACTACGATGTATAAGCATCAAAGCGATGGGAGTTCGCGATTCATCCGAGCTTGTCTCTAATGCCCATTCAGCATGTGCACCAGCACATTAAACAGCTGCACGAGTATTATGTCTCTCAGCTCGAAGCCGCCTTTTGGCGTCTACACCCCACTTGTGACCTTTTTCGCTAACAACGAAAACATAGACCTTGATAGCATGAAGACTCATATCCGGTGTATGGCCAAAGGTGGTGTGGCAGGATTAGTTGTTCAAGGTAGCAATGGCAAGTCGCCGCATCTCAGTCACGACGAGTGAAACGTTTTAGTCCGGGTTACTCGCACAGAGCTCGATCAGATCGGCTTCTTTCAGGCCAAGTTAATCGTCAGTTGTGGTGCCGCCAGCGTCCAAGAAATAGCATCTTACATCTATGAAGCTAAAGAGGCGGGAGGTGACTACGCGCTGGTACTCCCACCGGCATGCTGGTTTTTCTCCATAAAAAAAGTGGCCGTAGAAGCCTACTTCAGCGCGGTGGGCAGCCTACGATCATTTGACACTATTTTGAGAGTTGAAAAAAAGGGCTTATCAATATCTGTATAATCAAAGGTGGCGGAGGAGTCGGCATTGCCCTTGCTCATTTACAACTTCCCTGGAGCAACATTAGGGATCGACATCAGCTCTGACTCGATAATTCGACTTGCCTGACCTTATCTGCATGCAATCGAACAAAATGTCGTGCAGCTTCTAAACCTAAGCCAGTATTCGAGCCAGTAACGACGATTGTCTGACCAGTAAAATCTTGATCGGGGACTGGTAAACTTGTGAGAAGTTGCGATTTGAAATAAGAAATAATGAATGGAGGCATGATGATAAGAAAATTTCGAAGTTAAGAATTGTGAGAGGATGGTCTTTAAGTCCCGCGCAACATCAAAGAGCAAATGTCTGGAATTTTGGGCGGAAATCATTCTTATATAACAAAGGCGGAAAACTGCTCTCCTGGCCGTCGTCGCCAATATGGCAACCCACTTGCAAGATGTTATCATCAGCACGGTGTTAACATAAAAATTCATAGTAGTACATAGGTACATAGCCCTGCGCTGATCGAATATTACTGATTATTAGTTCCAACCATGGTTCACCGTTAGTACCTATGAGACACCGTGAAGGATTGTCAGGGGCGAAAAGCGAGACTACTTTGGGTATAGCCTTGTAAGCCCACTGCATTAGTCTCCTAATTAGAGATCTGACCCTGCTGGTAAGACATTAAAGTACTTTTCCCCGATCAGTCTCGCTGTACTCCCCGAATAACAGTCTTGCACATCTCAACGACAAATGCGACCCGTCTACCAGCCATCAAGCAACTTGAAGCATTGAAGTTAGCACAGCACAAGAGCTACTAACACTGAGACTTAGCAACGCCGAGGAAATGATTACTTTACATACTGCGCTCCCGGAAGTAGGTAAAGCCCCCTCCACTAGTTAGCGAAGGAAACGCTGTTTAGACCAAGTCTCGCGGACAACAAGATGACTGGACTGGTTTGAAGAATCGCAAGGAAAGAAGAATGTTGCAGAACCGTCTCAACGTAAGGGCTTAGAGTAGGTTTATCCCGTGATGTTGCTAATGAAAGTACATACTAACACAAAGCTTACCTTAATAGGACGACGCAAAGCCTCAGGCAAATTGGACTCACCCGGTTTGAATGCGGAGGAGCAGATAATAGCATCGACGCTTGGACGACAGCAAGTAGCAAATCAGATTTTCTTGCACGATTTATCGAGCATCATCACATCTCATGACATGACCACGGGGCATGCCAGACAGAGATCCATTGAAACATCGAGACGTCAATATAAACCAACAGATTATGGATTCATGGGAAAGAGGTCTACGTTTCCGCTTTCACTCGACCACCTCATTCCACTCATTCAGTACAATCTTGTTCGAGCCTGTGTTACAAACGCCACTATATTGTCTCTGCTCCATGCAATACCGTTCCACTGCAATGGGATGTGGGATTCGCTTCCTTTGTTCTCTCCTCCAGTCATTCTGCCCGAGTCGCTAGCTCCAACGGATTTATTGAATCCAATGAACCCAGATCAGACGTAATGTCGGTTCTGTTCGCTGCGGCGCATGGCAAATCTCGCTAGAGTCAACAAAGGCACCGTCGATAAATCACCGCTAAGTTGTATTGCGCTATGATTATCATCAGAGTACAATAAGGGAAACACAAGACAACAAGCCTCACGACAATAAGAACGAGGATTAGTGAGACTGCTGGTCCTAAGTAAAACAAGATTGTGATGTATCTCCCGGTGGTAGGGTAGGAGAGGTGGAAGGAGCCAGGTAGGTAAGGTAGACCAAGGTAGATACTGCATAAGTCCTGCATAAGTCAAACTTATGCTCATGAATGTTTCAAACTTAACGATGCAGTCTTCTTAGGGGTTAACAACATCGCTGGTCTCAAGAACATCATCACGTTCATGTTTCAATTGCTAATCATTTGGTTACAATATTTCCTACATTCCCACAGAACTATTGGTATTATGGCTAAAGGACGAGAAAAACTCGAAAACCGGAAGGCATGCAAAGAAGCCAAGAGCTGCCGCTCATCGCCTACTTCTAAACGCTCAGACTTTCTCTTCATGGGTAGCAATAGCCTCATTATTCGTTCCCATTTTCTCTAGCTTCTCGACATCTTCTGAATCGTGACCACTGTGGAGCCTCGTTCGAGGTGCTGCGACTGCGTGCAACACACTCCGATATACTCTTGTGACAGACTCTTCGTCATCAACAGACGTGTCGGCGTCGACAATGCTCCAACCGGCCCTTTCAAAGCGTTGGCGCACGTAGTCAGATGCGTTGACGAAGCGGATCTCCACTCCCTTTCCACCATATTTCCTAATCTCGTTGAATAGATTTCCCAGATGAGAGACCGCCGTCGTGTCGATATGGTTTACCTTTCCGAAGTCAAGTATAACCAATCCGATGGGTGGCAGACTTCCAATATCATACACGTTCGCTCGCTTGCGCAAGCGGGCGATGCGCTTCTCGGCAACAACAGACCAGTTCCGTTCTGACTCGGGTCCGTGTGCGCTGTTATAGACTGGGGTATGGTATGTTTGAATTTCATCAAGGATTGATGTTGTTGTGCTGTATGAGTTTGGGAAGAAGAACGATTCATTAAAGCGGAAGACGTGTACATCGGATGGGATTGAAGAGGGCATGCCGCGAGCTTCATCCAAGGAAATAGCAAGATCAGATCGTGGTTGAGATCCCGTCGACGATACTCGAGTAAACACCTGCCTTAAAACGCAATAAACGATGTTAAAGCCAACGGATATAGCGATGCCTAGTTCGGTTGACACGAAGAGCGAAATCCAAAATGCCAGCATAGAGGAAATAAAGTCCGCCAGTGAAGTTTTCCAATACTCATAAAAGTGCTTTGGCGGATGGATGAGTGGCCAGACTGCCGTGATAATGATAGCAGCGAGTGTTGCTTTCGGAATCCAGAAGAGAGTCCCAACCAGCTTGAAAATAGAAACAAGGACGACAGCGGTGGTGATAAATCCAGAAAGAGGTGATTTGACATTACATGAAGAGTTGACGGACGTTCGAGACATGGCGCCACCGACACCCATGGCATGGAAGAAGCTGTTGAAAAAGTTTGCCACTCCAAAATAGCAGAGTTCTTGACTTTGATCAGGAACATAGTCATTCTTGACTCCAAAAGCTCTTGCAATCGCTGTGTGTTCGACAGCCGCGCCGATGAACACAGCAATGCTTCGGCTCGCAACTTTAGCGATGAGGTCAGAACTAGGCACTCGAGGTGGTTCTTGGCCGTTTGACTTGACCTGAACAACCGCAAATAGATAGTCATCACTGTCGCGGTTCTTATTGACTGCGTAACCAACACCAGTGTAAATGAGAAGAGTGATGAATGCACGAGTGATAGACAGGAACCAGACAATTTTGTTCTTCTTTCCCCACCTCTTGCCAGCTTGGTCAAGGATGGTCAAAAGCAATATGCCGGTAAACCCAATGAGACAGGTATAGCCGCTCGCATCTGGAAGTTTTGCAAAGACATCGTGAATTTGATTTGCGGCACCATCACCAATATCACTTTCACCAAGGAGAGATCCCATTTGGTTTAGGATGATAGTGATGGCGACAGCAGAGATAAAGCCACTTAGAATGGGGAGGGAGATGAACTCCAAAAGAAATCCGAGCTTTAAGAAGCCAAGAATCATTCCATACACTCCCATCATCAAGGCGACCGCCGATGCTATTTCTGATGGGGAATATTCGTCTTGAAGCTCTTTCACCGTGTCAGATGTCAGGAGGCCGATGAGTGACGTGGGTCCGGTCGACAGGTCTTGAGTAATGATTGTTAATGCGGATACACCGAAAGCTCAAATGAGTTTAGACCATCTTACCTTTTGTTGTCCCCATGAAGGCATACAGACTTGCGGGGAACCAGCTCGACATTAGTCCATATTGGACAGGAATGGTTGCGATTTTTGCATATGACAATCCCTGGGGAATGAGCATCAGACCCAAGGTCAAGCCAGCAATGACATCGTTTATGATCCAGCGAGGATTATATTTCGGAAGCCATCCTACGATGGGAACTTTCTCAGAGACATATTGCACGGAGTAGGATGGAAGAGCCCGAGCGCCTTTGACACTCAGCCTCAAAGCTCGATTCCATGTCACGTCAGTCTTGACGTCGTTTTTGATATTTTCCACAATCTTCATAATGAATTGATGATATTTGAATGTGTTATGTTATATTGATACGAGGAAAGTTGGAAAATACTGAGCAGAAGCCTTCCTTGGCAAAGCCGAAGGCAATCAGGACGTGATAAACTGTCTTATACCTAGGGCAATCTACATTCCCCTCCTATACCAGAATGAGGGGTATACACTATTGACACGGCTACAACACATGTTGCAAGGTGTGCCATCCTCCAACTTGTTCATGTCGGTATTCGGGATCTCATCTACAAGCACGAGGAAGGTGAGGACGAGGATGATCCAGGGCTGACGTTGGAGGACTGCTGAACAAGACATCGAAGGCAGGACATTGTCGCCCAATGATCAACTGCCATGGTAGTGATGGTGTAGGGGAATGGACGGTGAGTGATGGACCACCATCATTGCTTTGATGTCGGTCGTTCCAAAAGCGTGCGGGGTACGGTCGAAGAGCGTATCAGATACCCTGGATGTTATTTCTGTCCTCACTAGCGTCAGCACAAACAAGTCGGGAGACTTATAAAGGGCCATAGAGGCTTAACCCCGCAAGTACGGTAGTGTTTCCGGGGAGGCGCTCTTCTCAACACCCGCCAAGGGGCCTGCACATGTTTCGTGCAATCAGAGTGCACGATTGCCTATCATCTGCAGATCTTATTAGAGTGACCACTAGCAAAAGGCGAATGTCCGCAACGCTTTCCCATTTTTATCTCTTCCGTAACAACGGCAGTGTGTCTCTCCTGGAGCGTGCAGCCTGCAAGTGAACGTGATCCCTATCGCCTGTCGACTCTGATCACACCGCACGAGTAGCGTGTTAAGTTCTCGCGGAAACACTTCCTTTCTTGTAAGTAAGTAAGCCGTGATCACTGGCATCGAACCGCTGTGCTATTGGAGTGCTCGATGCCGCTTCTCGATTGTCGTTGCCTCGTTAACCCAACGAGAACGAGCGTATAGCCGCTCTGCCTATTATTATCGCATTATTAAGGACTGATCATATCGATTGGCACAATATGATTTTGACCCCCACATAGAACCTGCGGTATAGAGGGGCTCTAATGGGTCCATGAAATTGCAGGTAATGTCAACTTGAAAAGGGGCGTAAATCGGATCATTGCCACGCTTGAGAGCCTTGTTCGAAGGGATCGTCATGTGAGAAACACTGATATGCTGGATATACCGTCTAGATATATAGATATCTCTTTATAGCTTCCCGATGGGTTCACTTTCATGAACATCCGTAATAGAGGAGAGATTCCCCCTTCGTGCTGCTCATGAATTTGATTTTGTGAAAGCGACTGTTAGAATTTCGATGTCTGGTATGCGGAGTGTCGTTGGGAATGGAACTTGTTCGAAAATACACATAAAATGAAATCCTAGTCAATCGGACACAATGTTGAGAAAGTGACGAGATTATATAGAAGACCTCGATAAGTCTAAATTCGTCAACATGGCTACTTATATATGACTGGACTGTACCTGACTCACAGCTAGATGTGTCAATCATCCAGACGAAGAAAAGCCGGCGTTTCGGCTGACCTCGGGAGTGTGGAGACTGAAAACCGTAACCCGGTTATGAGATTGCGATATACACCACACCGAATGGCCAAGAATTGCCTTACAATAAGGGAGTTTCGGAAAAGGTGAGCTCGGACGCGACAAAATGAGGCCACCCAGCTGGCGAGTTTGTTTTGGGCCAAGAATGATGCATCTACCGTGTAACCCCGCATCAAACCGAACAAAGCTTGAGTCCTCCACAATCTTTGCCAAGTCGCTCGCCTGCTTCCCGGATACCAAGGTTTAGACTCGGAGTTCGCTCGGCGTCAAAGACCACACAACAAGTAGTCCATCGGCGTGGCTTCAGCCCAGCCAATTAAGATTCGAGGGTAAGCCTCGCTGCAGGTCACTGTTTAACGACATTAATGTTGTCTACAACGTTGGACTCGTAGCGAGACAAAGATTAATGAAACACTCGTGATAAGATGATTGTCGCTTGAAGGAGGGGACAAACAGACAAATCTTGCAGTTTGTCATCCGTTTGAAGGACCTTGTCAGTGCTCATAATTGCCAATCAAAGCATATTCTCAAAAGGAACGCTTGATGTAAGCGAGCCATTGACAAAGCATACCCTAGACTCCAAAACTATTCCACCATGGGCATGGGCAAGGGAGCAAAATCCTTGATCGCTATTTGACCCTTGATTGGTTCTATATTATCTCTCTTTGGTGCACCAACGGCACAGCCGCACAGGCAATCGTTACTGACTCAAAATTTGTGGTCCTGGCGATGTATTGTTGTGTTTCGCTTAGACGGAATGAACGTACGGCGAAGACCCACCAGCTACCTTGCATCCATCAAGGACACTACAAATAGAGGAACCGCTGAAGGGAGGATATGACTGGGTTCAATATTGCATGAGATTCGCGAAACAAATGATACAACAAGATGTCTGTGCTATGAAACCGAGTTCTAATATGATGAGACCTCGAGCATAGGCTGGTAAATCAAGTGACGGAACGGTCTCGGTCCGTTCGTCGGCCCCCTCAGCGAAAGTCAGCTTTGCTTCACAAAGCTTAGCATTAGATTTATTTCACATCAATTTGGCTGGCGGAACTATTGTGCTTAATGCATGCAAAAGCATGGCGTTCGCATCTGGTTGGATGCCTTTATGCAACCTTCAACTTCAAGTTAGCTAAGAATGTCAAATGTGATTCCCGACAGATCACCGATTCGTTCATTAGTAGGGAAATAGTGGCAATAATCTCCAGTATCGCCCTTTTTTTTACATGATGGTGTGGAACTTTTTCCATGAATTGTGCCATTTGCCACCAAGAATCATCTAGTAATCCGGGTTACCGTTTTCGGCAAGATGGAGGCATGTCTAGGTCGTCTTTGCACGACTGTGAGTTTGAATCGAGTGTAGATAGAAGCCTTGAAGCTACTGGAAGGTGTTCTCGTACGAGGGCATGTATTGACAGAGACTTCATTGTCTACACCCGTCCTATTGAATACACCAGTGTTATAGTCTTATGTACAGCATTTCTAGACAGATAACATCATAGGTCATTGTCTACTTTTCGACAGAGTTGTTCCATTTCATAGCGATCGGAATGTGGTCGGGTAGCTATGGCCGGGCGGTCAATGTCAACCTACTTCTACGTACCATCACAGTAGGGACCAACGATTTCAAGCCCGTGAAGTGGCGACATAGTGTTGTCATCTACTAGTCCAATTTAGAATTGAGTGGCGCTATACATGCAGCCAGTGAACTAATTAAGCCTGCGATAAGGACTAAAGTCATGCTGATGTGTCAAACCCCTGATTATCGGTTGGGGATGGGCAACACCCTTCAAAAGCTCGCTCTCGGGCGCCCTCAAAAACAAAGTAACCCATTTTTCTAAACTCAACTTCTCTCGGCGTTAGCTTAGCTTATCAAATGATCAAACGATTCGCAGATAGCCGGTTCTGAGCTTATGTCTTAGACTTGGTACGGGGATTGTCAAGGCTTATGGTATTTGATCAGTCTTTCATGTTCATGCAGTACCAGACATAGGCCCTGAGACCCGCAATATGGTGCTATATCCCGTGAACAATATACCCTATCAATTGAGTCTAAAGCCGATAGCAGGCTGTATGTTTGTTGCACAATTGAACAGTCAGAGGGTAGGCAGCGGATTCCAGAGCAAACCAAACGAAGTAGAACACGCCTTATAGGCATTACTTTTGGTAGAAGAACGGGAGAGCAAATTAAAGATGCTGAGAAACGGCGAAGACTAACAGCGACCTGTAACCAATCGATAGTGTGCTACTTTCAATATCACAGTATTGAGTCAAGTATTACGACAACTCGGCCTGAGCCTGAAGGCTGGAGGACCGGAGAAGGTTGAATGGCTAGGCCTGATTCGTCGGATATTTCTTAGTGCGGTTCCATCCTTAAAGCAGATGGAGCCTTGCAGCCTTGGAAGCCTGAAGCCATGTCTCGTGCACGGACCAGATCTGAGGAAAAAGTCTGGGAAAACCTAGAACATCTCAATGCCATCGAAACAGCGCAGAGGGCGCATTAAGCATCTCGCGCAAAACATAGAGACCCGGAGTAAACAGTGGGACGATGGCAGACCCCGATTTTACTCAGAAGTCGGAGGCGTTCTTGTCTTGGTTCAAGTCGCAGCCGGGGGCCACATTTCGTGACGATATTGAGATCTGCGACTTGAGAGATGGCAAACGAGGCAGAGGCATTGGTGAGTTCACCATACTAAATTAGCCGCCACCAACTTGCAAATTGCAACTTCCAACCTGTACAAGCTCACTAATTGACTTTCAAATAGTTGCTACAGCCGATATCCCCCCAGAAACTGTGCTGTTCACGATTCCTAGGAAAAGCGTCATTTGCTCTATTACATCCCAACTGTCACAGGAGATCCCACAAATAGCTGATATAGACAGCAATATCGATAGTGCTGAGGATGAGATCTTGATAGAAAGAGGATCAATGAGCAGCGCAAATCAAGACTCCTGGACGTCTCTGATTTTGATCATGATTTATGAACATCTTCGAGGGCCTGCATCTAGGTGGAAGCCGTATCTTGATGTCCTTCCCACCGTTTTCAACACGCCCATGTTCTGGTCTGAAAACGAGCTCAAAGAGTTACAAGCTAGCCCAGTCATCGAGAAGATTGGGAAAGATAATGCGACTGAAATGATCAGATCTAAGATTTTGCCGGTTATTAAGCAAAACCCTCACGTCTTCTTCACTGATGGTGCCGAATACCTTGGCGACGACGCCCTCGAGCAGCTAGCGTACCGTATGGGAAGCACGATCATGGCCTATGCATTTGATCTCGAAAAGGATGATGATGAAGGAGTTGAGGGTGAGGACGAGTGGGTTGAGGACCGGGAAGGCCAGATCATGATGGGTATGGTACCAATGGCTGATATCCTGAATGCCGATGCTGAATTCAATGCTCATGTCGACCACGGGGAAGATTATCTTACGGTCACTGCTATACGGGCTATCAGAAAAGGTGAAGAGGTCTTAAACTATTATGGGCCACTAGGCAACGGCGAACTTCTCACACGATATGGCTATGTGACGTCGAAACACAAAAGCTACGACCTCATCGATCTATCATGGGACTCAATACTTCATAGTATACGCCAAGAGCTCAGATTCAACGAAAAAGATTGGGAGAAAGTTAAGCAAATGGTCGACGAGGAAGACTTCGAGGACTATTTTGTGATTGATCACGGCGCGGACGAACCAGACGCCTCGGGACAGATGAGCGCTTCATCTCATGGAGTCAATCTTCCCGACGACCTATGGGATCAGATCAAATCTTTTTTGAAGAGTGTGAAGCAGATTTTCCCAGAACTTGTGGCAGATAAGAAGAAACGAGACGAAGTGATGTATTCTGCTGTACTTCAAGCGTTGGAGGCGCGATTATCTGCTTATACGACAACTTTAGAACATGATCGCGCCATCAGTCGCAGCGGACCTATGGAGGAACGATTGCGCATGGCATTAGATGTGAGAATGGGGGAGAAGCTACTCCTCAGTCAGGCAACCACCACAGTGAAGGAAAGACTGGGCCAGCTGGCAGCGCGGGAAGGGAATTCCGGGGAGCCGCCCGCAAAGAGGCGAAGAACATAGACATTAGCAAAGAATGGGTGGCAAAACATACAGTGATCATACTTTTTATTGTTTTGGTGGCCAATGATGCTATCGAAAAGAGGACCATCTCTATCCGGCCTCATTCTGTGTAACCTAACTCCTGATTACCCAGGCTAGCACAGCAGAAGCCTCTGTTCCGCTCGGAACCCTGACCCAAGGTCATCCATCCTTGTCTTTCATACCGTCGTTAATCCGCAAAAATCATACTTTGAATGGCAATCATAACGCTTTCGGCTTTTTGCGAACGAGTCCTGTGCCAAGGACGTTCACCTGCCGACTGCTAGGATTCACCAGCGATCCTGGAGACGCTGCGACTTCCGGTGCAGCAACCTGGTCCACGACGAGTGAGTTCCCCCCTTCCTCATGGCCTTTGCGCTTCTTGCGGACCATATTGGTGCCAAGGATGTTGGACCCTTCAACATTGGAGCCTGACATCCTTATTGCCTGTGGCAGGGTAGAGCAGGTCGCTTCTCGGCTTTGGCTGCCAGTTGCGTCTTCGAAAAGAGAGGGCTCGTCATGGCCAGAAACGGGCTGGCGATCGAGCTCAGGTTCCACTGCACGCTTTTTTCGCACCAAGTTCGTCATATTATTCACCTGGGCACAGCTAACAGGTGCTGCAAGGTTGACAGATGACATGGGTTTTCTGCCGACAGCGTCCCATCCCCAGCGCATCCCACCCCCCACTTCGCTAATCCATCGCTTCGTGCTCCCTTCTGCGATGCCCAAGTTCGCAAAATCCAGCCTGAGAAGCAACTCCACCGATCGCTTGTAGTCGGCTTCATTTACAATTCGTGCACCGCGGCCCTCCGAGGGCCATGTGTAGTAGGCTGTTGATGTGGGGATTTCGGGTAGGTAGTTCTTCGCATGTGTCTTAGCACGAGGTTGCCGAGCCTGTATGCAACCCTTGAGATCCCTCTTTTTTTGTTTCCTACCGACTCTTGCCGCGTCCGAGCCCTGACTCAAAGGCGTGTGTTGCAGAGGTTTGGAGGGGGTGCCTGGTTTGAGAGGACTGGACCGTGGCGTCGAAGATGAAGGGTTTGTACGCCGCCTCGGCGGAGTAGAAGGTAAGGTGAATGACTGCTGGGACTCATCGAAGGATGTGCCTGGAGTCAGCAGTGGCGCTTGGGGTGTCGAGGGTGTATTAGATCCTGGCGGATCGAACACGACCCATATGAAGCCCGTCATGTGCCCTCCAGAGCACTCTTGTCTGAATGCCATCATCTCCCAAAATTGCTCCAGGGTCTTGACACTCTTCCATGACCCCTTCTCTCGATATTCAGTCCAGTGGGATGCCTCGAGATCCAGCTCATCTCGGAAGCGGGATTTCGGATCGTCAGGATAGCGAGGTATCAGGCATCTAGCCGGTACCCAGTCGTATTCTCGAGTGAAATGTGAGATCTTCTCCAGGGGGTGCCCTAGGACCCATTTGCTTGCTGCGGACGCTGTTCGAGGCAGAAAAGCCTTGGACTCGTAGGTGTCGAGGCCCGGAATGACAAGATATCCCTTGATGCGGCCCCATGCAGGCTGTTTACTTGGAGACGAGACAGTTTGTAGGTTGCGAGTCTCGAGCAAGGGGTCCAATACCTTGCACCACCACTTGACCAGCCCTCGGTCATCCAGAACATGCTTGCCACTATTTTCAATGCTCCCGGGGAATAGATACTGTGCCTGAGCTCGAGCGAAGAGGCTCACAACAGACTGCACGTTGTCGCGGCGGCGATGCTCAACCAGGTAGCTGATGAAGGCGGCGGTGACCTCTCGAATGGGCGAGGGCGTGCCATTGGGCAAGCTGAGGAGGTGGAGATAGCCCGTAGAGTCAGCTTTGGAGACGAAGAATATGCTGGAGTATGCGGTGGTAAAGACGAAGACCTCAAGAGCTAAGACCAGGACTTGTGCGACAGGCGTCTCTGTGGCAGCCGTGTTATCTTGTGAGGATGACCGAGTCGGGTGATCGGGGTCGATGCTCAAGGCTAGGAAGTGGTTTTCGCAATAGGTGCGGTCAGGGCGTGCATCTGGGGGTGCAGAACACAGTGCGTCGGTTCGGAATGGGGGAGTTGAGAGATGATGTATGCCAAAGGCGTAGCCCTCGGGAAGCACAGCGGCAAGCTTGTCTGTCAGCAAAGTGCTTGCCTCTCCGTGACTGCTGGAGGGGTCTGCCATTGTGTCAGGACAGGTGATGATGTTTCAGTCTTGCCTCACTCTGACCGACTGTGGGTGGTCAGTCGTCGCAGTCGGCTTGTCGGCTTGTCGAGGTGAGAGGAAGGTGGGCGGCTCTCAGTCAGGGAGACATTGTTGACCGGCAGCAATATATGCTCATCACTCAAGAGATAGCTGTCTGTAGCTTGTAAGCTAGCAGTTGTTGTATCTCTTCGGCTAGATTTGATCATGAATATGAATATTCCAAAGCTTTGTTTGTGTACGATGGCTGTAGACAAGCAAACAAGCAAGGGAGCTGTAGAGGGTTATAGCGTATCTTCTTGAAAGCCAGCTACTACCACCATACCTCAGCCGAGGAGCTGGGGGAGGTCTACACTAAGGAAGGTGCGGGTACCTTGATTAAGTGGTCCGTGCTTTGTTGGAGCCGGAAATTTGTTTGGTGATGGGGCCAGTGATGCAAAAAAACACCAACCACCATTCATTCACCACCATCACCACTACCCATCCTTTTGCCAGCCAGCCAGCCACCACTCAATTAGGAGAAGAGCAGCACAGGGCTCTCGCACCTGCTTCATGGCTCTCAGGCCCTCCTCCCAGCAGGCATTATGCCTCTCACGGCCAGTCCTGCGACTATGCCATTGCGCATCGCCAACCGCCGCCAGCGCTTCTTCCCCACAGTCATCCTCGATTGCCTCGGGGCCTAGAGCGAGGATAGCCTCTCGCTCCTTGTCCTCGACCATCATCCGTCGCACCGAAGAGCCGTCTGAGAAACACCCCGTCGAGGAGCGACCACGATGGTCTTACACGCCTGAAGCCATGAAAGCCCCCTTCTCACTGAACATCCCACGAGTGCCTGGCCGGCAGGCTTGGAAGGTCAACGACGATCCCCAAAAGCTAGACCAGTTCTATGATAGGTTTCTGAGCGGTGTGGGCGGGTCACGCATGCTCCCAGACGAGATCAAGTGGCTTGCCATCACACACAAGAGCTTCGACCAGGGACGGAGAGGCTTCAACACTCGTCTTGCATTCTTTGGTATGTGAATACTACTCCTTGAACAGATGCGATACGAACGCGTCAGCACCTGTATCATTGCTCCGGCACAGCTCTTGAGCTAGACTGACGAGCCCTCGCCACTCTAGGCAGGCAGATCATGGTTCTGGAGACCATGCGATCCGTCGTCTCTTCACCAGTTGACAGTCCTGCGCCCGCAGCGCCACTCACAGACCCGTATGAGAGAGAACCGTTTTCTCACCCTGCTCTCGCAAATATCGACAAGCTTGCCGCCAAGCAGCCCCAAGACATCATCTCGAAAGAAAAACTGGCTAAACTAGGGTTGGAATCTGGGCTTCACGAGGTGACCAGATGGAAGCCGCGAGTGGTGAGTCTTTGCTTGCTATGGCATCCCGCTCCGCCGCCCACTGCTAACGCTCTACAGCCCGAGAATCTAAGAGGCTCTGGCTTAGAGACTGTATTAGCCACGTCAATATTCGCTATAGTGGGAGCGATTTCGCTGCAGCACGGCGCGGAGGCTGCCAGCCGTGTAGCGCGAGAGAAGATAATCCGGAGGCTGGAACGGTCGTGATGTATTCAAGTGTACAAATTGTATCATATGTATATACCCAAATCCAAGAAGCGTGGATTGAATATACCGCGCCGACGATGCAGGAGAATTGACGGAGAGTACCACAATAGATAATGAAGCGCAGAGTCCTAGAACGACCTAGCCAATGTAAAGCTCAGATTCGCCCACGACGTCTCGCTTGAGGCACATGCTGAAGGCCACCGCTGTGGAAGAATAGGGTCGCCCCGTCTGCTCCCACGATCTTTGCATCACCAACCCACCCTGAAATCAAGGTCCATAATTCTCAATTCCTTCTTTCCGACTATCATCCAGGTGTCCCCATTCTTGAGTTGCCGACCTCTGCCCATGGCAAATCGTTTGTAGTAATCCGTCTCACTACAATCACTTAACGAGCAGACACCTCCAAACCAATCGGCCGGTGGCACTCGCTCGGTGAACATGAATAACGTCAGTTCCTCCAGGTCTCGAAAGACGGTCCGCGCAAACACTCGCAATGAAGCGCCGGCGCCTTCGTGTGTCCAGCTGGCAACGCTGAGGGCGAGCCGCTTGAGCCCCCCGCAGGCAGTGTTCCGGCGGAGACAGTCCGAGAATAGCACAGTCAGCCTGCGCAGATCGGCGTCGCCCAGTACAACAACCGTGTCGATCTCGGGGCAGATATAGAGCACGCGATAGAGGTCAATGATGCTGTCGCCGGCCCGTTCACATGGCTGAATGGTTGCAAGAGGGAACTTGACCGTGTAATGCTCGAGCGCAGCCGCCCGGCATTCTGCATTGACTGATAGCGCAGCCGGGTTTGTACATCCACTCTGCCACTTGGGGACGCCACCGTGCCGATAGTCATCGGCATAGTGAGAGCGACGAGAATGAAGCTCTACGGTCCGCGGCTCGAAAGAATGATGCCATATCTTGAGCCGCAGCTCCGCTGGCAAAAGCGGGAAGAGAAAAAAGCTATCGCGGCCACTTCCGGACTCGCCGGGCGTTGGTAGGTCTACCGATAGATCCGAGACCGAGTTGAGCCCGGTACCGGTCATTGCACCGCCGGTCGAAGTCCGATTGATTATTTAGATAACCTGCCGGGGTCTTCATCAAAAGGCTCCGGGATATCACGTCGGCAAAGGCTGGCCAGTTGGGCTGCGCCTGTCAGGCTCTCATGGGTTGGCTAGATTTGCTGGCACCTAGAGCGTTCCCGGGGTGCCCCAATTTTCCTGCAGCGTGAGGTCACGGCGCGCTACGCACTGCGTTCTATAACATGGAGCTTCGATCATAACTGTTGTCGACTTATGGTACGCCGTTTTACCGGAGCTGAATATATGATGCTTGGGTCTGCTCTTCTTGGGCGCCTAGAACTCGGCGTATTAGCCGTCAGTTCAGCATCTTGCGCAGGTGCGCTTATGAGATGGTTCCTCAAACTACGTCCACAGAGCTCCCTCAGGAAGCGGCTTCATGATAAAGTATGTGCTTCGACTCCATCCTATTGACTTTAATTGGGTGAAAGTATTACCTGCGGCTCAATAATCCTCCGCTTACTGGTTGGTGAACATTGCGCCATACTCAAAAGTAGGCTTTTGAATTCGAAAAAAAAAATAGATCCTCACACAATTTGTTTCATACTATATATTGCAAGTCGGACACATATTTCACGAGCTCCGGAGCAAACAATCAATGCTTAGTATAGCTAAATCTATGAGTATAGGCTTAAACACGAATACGCTCATCTTTCATGGCCGGTGGAGGCACGCGGAGGCAGCATGACCTTGATAACTTGCGAACATTCCTCACTAGCCTCGTCATTTTGCATCACACTGCAATCGCATATGGTGGTGCCGGGTCGTGGCTTTTCAAGTCTGCTATCTTCACAGAACCATCTCTCTCGCTACTTCTTTTCAACGCTGTCGACCAGTCCTTCTTCATGGGGCTGTTTTTCTGGATATCGGGGCGTATGTCGGCTCTGGCACTTCGAAAGACTTCTCCTGTTGAATTCTGGCGTGGACGACTGATCCGACTGGGGGTTCCAACTCTTTTCTATACGCTTATCATTCATCCCGCGACCTTAGCATTGGCTTCCCCTGAGTGGAAGATCTCAGCTATTACGCAGTGCTTTTACAACTACTGGAAATCTATGCAAGACGTTCACGGACCCGTATGGTACACCGCCACATTGTTGTTATTTGACACGGTGTCTGCAGCATGTCATCGATACCGATCACAACCTAGTACAGAGCGAGGCCAACATGCCGTGAATCTCGGCTCAAAATATCGAGTTCTCGGAATGTGGGGGCTGCTGGGAGTTTCCATCACCAGCTGGGTCATTCGCCTCTGGTATCCGATCGGCGCCTTGCTGAAAGTCATTTCTGTGCAGCCAGCGTACCTACTGCAGTACATGTTTGCATATAAAATGGGACAACTGAGCTTGTCCATGGGCATCTCTGAAATGGAATGTGACGAGACCGATAGGCACGAGTCAGTAGATGCAAGACAATATATGCCGCAAAGAAGACTCAAGATCGCTGTCTTGGTGTCTACACTGGCCTTCCACATCATATTCATACCCCCACTTATCTACGGAGGCTCCGACTGGATCATAGAGAGCATTTCTCAACTCTCCGGAGGGGTAAATGCCACCTCTCTTCTTTATTCTGTGTGGAACGAGTCTTCATTCTACGTGATTGGCTCAAGTATGGTATTTTACTTTCGACAAGACTGTAACTATCGGGCAACATCTTGGCTATGGCAATCCCGATACTCATACGCCGCATTTCTTTTTCATGCGCCTGTGAGTGTTACTGTTGAGATTTTTGCAGAAATGATGTTGTCTTGGGCCAAGATGAAAGGCATTCTGTTGGAAAGTGTTGTGAGATCATCCGTTACCCCTGTGCTCATAACAATGATACTCGGTGGCATTAATGTCTTAACATCGTTCTTACTAGGAGGATGGTTGGTTGAAGCGCTTCCAATCATACAAAATGTCATCTAGTCACTCTCTTGTTACAGTTCGTTGGTCTCAGGGTCAAATCTGCTAAACTCTTCCTATTCATGACAAGACTAGATTCATACTTAGGTATAGTCTTGCTGAGGTTTTTTATGGAGCAGTGATGTCCCCTAAAGCAACTTTACACCAGCAGTAGAGTACCTAGCCAAATTGACACGGCGTAGGCGCGGTTTGGTATTCTAACTTTAGACGCGGAGGCTACTAAAGGGAAGGAAGGCCGACTCGCAAACCAGCCCCTTGGACTCGAAGCCAATAGCAGGGTTTTATCCACAATAGTCATGGAAATAAGGCTGGCTGGCTGGCTGGTGACGATTCTTCGCATGCTTCGTGTTCTCCGCTTGACGCGAAAACGGCTGCCTTTTATGAAAAGGCGCGAGACTTCCACTAGCTCGCTCAGCGGTCGATGTCTCCTCCAACCTACTCTAACACCCTCACAACTAGCACGGTTGATCAGGCCGCGGCATATAACGGTTCCATTGAGCTCTTCGAGTATCGCCAGCGCAAGCTGTAATCATCGTTGTTTGGCGACCATCGTTTCAGGCTGCAAACCTTTGCCTTCAAAAAGCACTCCGGCCTTACGAAGCACACCAACAGTGTTCGTAATGACCTTAATATCAACGCCCGCTGTTTTGAGAGGAAATCTTACCGTCTTCATCCACTCTCTTGCGTCTTCTTCCGAGTAGTCAAGCTCGGTGCTGATGTATGTGATGGCCTCCTCCTGATTCTCATTGAAGTACTTGATGCCTTGATCTAGCTTCTCAAAGAGATCTTCCAGTCTCGGATCTGACACTCCGCCAGCGCCGGCCAAACTTGTTGAGGCGACAATCTTCCAGCTGCTCCACGGGGTATATATTTCTCCAATCTTGCGGATCTCGCCCGAGTCGTAGTATCGTTTCGAGGTGAAATGCTCCCACATGAAGAAGTCGGCTTCGCCCGAGTTGACCGCGTTGCGGAGGTTTGCAAACGTGTGTAGGATAACAGTATCCGAGTACGGGGAAGTGTTGACTGGTGAGGACGAGAGCCAGCCGTGCTGGTCGGCAAGCACGAAGCCCATGACGTAGCTCCCGGAGCCGAGTCTCGAAACACCAATCTTGCCGCCTTTTAGCGAGTTGACGGTGGTGATTTCGGGTCGACCGGAACCTGTGGAGATGGCCCAGCCTTCAGGGCGGGTGTTAGCTTATGGCTCGATTGACTGTTGACGCCGCGGTGGCTGATAGCCAAGCAAGAAGACCAATCGTGCTTACACAGTGGCGTTTCCACGTATGTGCCGACCAGTCGATAACCCCCATCATTTTCGTCTTTGTTGTCCTCATGGCCTAATCCAGCTACCCAGCCTTCTGTCAAGCCAATGCCCACATCGATCTCGCCGTTTCGGAGGGCGGTGATCATGTGGCCGGTGCCGGAAGGGAACGGAAGCAGCTCGGCCGAGAGATCAAAATGCTTTGTCGCAAAGTAGATGGGCGTAGAGAAGTGCTCGGGTACGAAACCTATACGCAGTGGTGCTGCAGCCGTCGCCATGATGATGTCCTCTTCGCGCAGGTGGCACACGGGCGAGAACATGGAATGTATTGTCGCAAAGACAGACAAGACTGTCGCCGGTTCGGCTCGATTCTCTTCGATTCGGCTGAAGTGAAGATGAAAGGTTGAAATAACCCCAGCGCGGGCATTTGAGAAAGATTTCAACCCCACTCAATGGTCTTGCGCTATCATGGGAGACCCCTCGCACCACCACCCCGCCTTTTAACATTAACATTTTGCTTGAGCTTCAGGCAGCTCCATTAGTCTGATTTGCCCCACCAAGAAGCGTCGCCATTTACTTCCTCTATGTAGGGTTCTTAGGTAAGCAGATACCCAGGATGTAGACCGCGAGCCACCAGTGATGATTGTCCCATTCTTGGCTGTACTATTACTGTAGTCTCCCAGGCGAACTTGGGGCTTTTGCTTAGACAATAGGTAGCTTTGCTCGCACACCATCTAAGGTGTCGATCGCCGCCCTCTGTACGCGGGCGACGTGCTTGGAGCAACCTGCTAGTGGAGGCTCGCGATGTCTCGTGGTCTTGGCTCGTCTCACCGATGGGTTCAAGCTTTCGTGATCCGCCCAGTAGTCCTACAGCAGTGATCATTCAGGTACCCACCTAGTCAAGATACTCAAACGACTTCGTACGCCACGATTTTTCATCGTAAAAGCATCTATGCCATAAACCCATTCCTCAATTCGCTGTCGTCTCATATTGTAACAAACGGATAGCAGCATTCCCGAAATGGAAATACGTCGCGCGCTTACATCAATCCCAGCCAATCATCTATGGATCGACGCTTATAATATAGTATGACTGCATGGAATAGAATCCATCTGATGGAACCAATACGAAATAGATCTAGGGATTGATTGCTCGAGATAGATGGCCATATTTCCTATCTTGCGATCTATCTAGTCTTTCCATAGCAGGTTAGAGATAACCATCGTTTCTCAGCTGGGATACGAAACGCCATTTCTCTGGTCAAGCACACGAATTCTCCCCACCACTCTTGATTCAAACGTGGAGATATTTAAGTCTTGATGACAGCCGCTCTTTGATCTAACAGACAATTGTGCCGAGTCTCACCCAAAAACATCCATTTCCACCAAAAGTTCAAAAAGCTTATCGAAGCCACAAGCTTTTACCATGGCATTGGATAATGAACAACTAGACCAAAGCTTCATTGAAAAATATAACAAAACACAGGAGGGTATGAAGGATCGTATGAGCGACTATGTTTCAGCCTGGATATCTGGCGATCTAGACAAAGTCTTATCATACTTTTCCGACTCCAACCTAGATTATTCAGACTACGGTTAGTAAAACTTGGCCCTACTCTAGTTTCCGGTCTAGAAGGCGCGTTGACTCATGTACAAGGGCTTATGGCTCTCCATATGGATAAGAATGCCCTTGTATCGTATTTTCAATTCATGGGTACCTTGTTTGGTGACATGGATATCCGTACCACTGCAGTCCACGGCGCTCTGGATTTCTGTGTGTGGGAGTGCGTGTTCGAATTCACTGTCTTAAAGGATGCTCCCGGAGTACCATATAAAATAGGACAAAGAGGGAAGATTTTCAACGCGAGTGTAATCCAGTGGGCGGATGGGAAGATTATCAAAGAAAGCGACTATGCGATCTGGGGAAATCAAACTAGCCATGCTTTTCCAAATCGAACTTAAAATAAGACGCGATGCAATACAACAATAGACTCTACATGCTCCTCACACAAGCGGATTTACATAGGCGTGGAAATCTATGCCTTCTTACTGGGGCAAGCCGAACTACGTCAAACCAACCTTTAGGCAACCTACCATACCCTGACCTTGGCAAAACCTCATGCTTTAACAGGAGCTTTCTAATTTGTACACCGCTTCCAACGATCTACTATTGACATCTGCTGGTCTTCTGTGAGATGAGTGCTCTTCTCCATCCGCTATGCGAGCAGCGAGAACCAAGTCCTGTACACGATTATTGCTCAGTTAACGCACTTCTTCGACTATTCCTTTGAAAGCGTAGCCAGGTACACCACAAGCACCAGCGGCTGGCTTGAATACGAGCCCACCTACGCCTCTTCCAAGCCCTTGGACAAAGCCACTAGCTCCCTTGGATCGTGCTCCTCGGACTGGCTGCATTATAAAGCCAGAGAGGCCATCGTAAAGTCCATAACCAAGTCCCTTGAGGTAAATTAGCAATGGAATGAACTCATGTAGGAATCTATGATCTGACCTTAACAGCAGCATATAAACCGCTTTCGCACCCAGTGATCTTATCCAGATCTCGTACAGTTGTTTCCGCGTATAATACAGGAACGTGTTGGAAAACCTCTTGCCAGGCCATATGTGTAGGAGACAGGGCTTTTAAGACCCGCAACTACCGTGTCTCCAATACCACTACCGACTCGACTGGCTACGGAACGGCTTTGCTTCAATGTGTTTGAATGGGGCTTAGGAGACATCGCACTAGAAGAAAGGATCTTTTTATACGCCTCCACAGGACCAACGCTTACACCGAGAAGCATGCTTGTAACTGTGTCCGATGTAGCTGCAGTCAGCCCAGTGAGTGGATCCCAGGGTCGATGAGCAAGATCCCAACTGTGCATCGTACGTCTGTAGATACATAAGCAGAACGTATGTGCGGAGCTTACTTTCAAACATACCGATGTAGCGCCTTTGCGTCAACGAGACCTTTCTTTAACAATGTGACCACAGCTAACGATGAAAGTGGTATATCGAGACCCGAAACATTCCAATAAGCAAGCTGACTAGTAGTCAAAGAGCATAAGACTTGTGTGCCAGCCAGATGTTGGTGAAAGCAACGACGACTCAGTGCAGGCTTTCCAACTCCGGCCGAGCATCTCATTCATTGCTTCAAGTCACCTGGCGGCACAGGCGCTATGTATTGATGTGTACGGCTACTTTGATAGGTGTGACGATACCATATCGTTGGGAGTGCTTCCAATAGAAAAGAACTCGATGCCTCGACCTTCGATGGCCGCTCGGTGCTGAGGATGGCTGGGAAGCCTTACTCAATGACCATGTCTCGCTTTCAAGAACCTAGCGAATAGAATAAAGTTGGATATCTCATTTAGTGGTCCAATTGCGAGCATGACGATGCTCATCTTGGGGCCTGTCTCGGTAGTAAATAATTGGTAGATGATTTGGAATATGGTGGCGGTGGTAAGGCATCATTTTCATGTCGACTTCGATCCCCATCTCTAGTGAACGAGAATTTTAAGTGGAAATCTCGCTCATCGATCACCGCAGTACCACTTTTCTCTGCTGTATTCTCCAGCTCTACTTGCGTCATCGTGATGCTTGATCAGACAAAAATGTCCATTCAGTCGCATAGAGCAATGAAACGAGTAAACAAAATTGAGTTACGGAATATCGCAACTACTATTCGAATTGAAACTATCAGATAAAGAATGCCACACTTGCAAGCTACTTCTCAAGTTAAGTGCGCCTAAATTCGGATGCCTAGGAGCCCCTGGCGTGGATCAAGCACGAAGGATTTCTTTGGCGCCTGAAACTGCGCCATGGCATGCACTAAGCGGAGGACAATTAGAGCTGCCTGGGGAAAATTATCTTCCCTGACCATGGTATCCACGCATCACTCAAAAAAGAGTTGCGACAAAAAGCGAACACCCTGTTGAAGCTATCCATGTGGAGACAAAGGTTCTATTGGCCTACACTGAAGCAAATGCGATCTATTTGTGGTAGGCATTCCACTATCGGCTTAGATATTGGTGAGAATTTGCATCTTTCTTGACGGGTCCAAATTCGTCAATGACGCTGCGCACACCCGTATATGTACCACAGGGCTGGAAGTCGATATCATACCCAAAAGCCTTTGGCCCAGCTATTTCAAGGGCTCGTTCAGTGCTAGTCCATAGCGGATGTGCTGCTGCGACCATCACGAAAACTTTCAAACCGTAACGGTATTCTGGAACACCACATGCTTCTCCTGTCAGTGTGTCGAGTACCATAATTAGGTCTGGCACTGTTGCAAGAACCTAGAGCAAGTTATCGTAAAGTTAGCTTCCATGATCTCAGTTGATCAAACAACTGAATGATCATAAAAGAACGAGTGCATGCATGAAGCCAAAAAAGAAAAAAGACTGACCTTCTTTTCGCCAGAGGCATATATTGCTTCCAGGACAAGATTTTCGTTTAAGAAAGGTATTCGGACCCTCTCTGGCAAGTCTTGAGTTGCCTCAGCTGGGTTCTCATTCTCATAATCTTTTAGCCGTTCGATGACAAGGGTTCCATGACTGCGGCCTCCAACTAACGCTTGCTCGATTCCTATGATTTTACCTTCGAAAACCTTCCGTGCGCTCTGAGGTCCACCAAATTCCTTAATCAGGTCCTCGTGCACACAGTTCAGGGTACCCCTTGATCGCGCTCTGTGAACAGCGCGACCAAGTCTCCAAGAGAGTGACATGGATTTAGGTATTCCATATTTCTGAAGCTCAGATTTCCCCGCTGGTCGAGCTGCAATCCCTGATCCAAGGCTAATCAAGAAGAGTAAGTCAAGGAATATATCGAGGGTTTCGCGGTAGTACATACCCCATTGTAATAGTCGCCGCTCGGAGGATTTTGTCGACAGAGGCCGTGTTCTTCGCGGAAGTGAGTATAAGGTTGGTCCCCTCCCCACTTGCAACACAGGCTGGGAGCAACTCGTTGACATGTTTTGCTCCAATATAGAGAGAGCTCATCTCAAATGCTGGAAAAGCTCGGCCTAAGTAAGCGATTGTCAGCTACAAGGTTATCCATCTGCCGTGACTGAGCTGCGGATGTACACTCACCCATCAGATCAGCATCAACACATAATATGTCGTAATATTTCGACGAAGCTAGAAGTAGTGGAGCTAATCCATTCGATCCGCCTATCTCCGCTGTGAGTGTTGCAGTGAACTTGATATGCAGGAATTCTTCTAGACCCTGCATTGCTTGGAGGATCATGTCACCTCCAAGTCTCTCAATAGCAAGAACCGGACTGCCTACTCCAGCTACCGGGCAGCATGATGCATCATCAGGC